TCTACATTTCTTTTTGCTTTATATGGTCCAGCCCAAGCTTTGTTATCAAATGGCCAAATATTATATTTTCCTAGTGAACCTTCTTCAACTTTATATACATCGAATGATACAACAATGACCAGCATATTATCATATAATATTATTGCTAATTCATGGAAACTTATTGTAAATTTTTTAATATATAATGATAAATTATATTAAAAAGCAGCCAAATAATCAATTTTTATGCATAAATATATAGAACACGACAGGTCAAGTACCTAGTATACGTAGTGATTACACAGCTGTTTCAAGTAAGTATTAAAAATTCAAAAAAAAAAAAAAGCTTGTAAATGAATTATATTATTTACATTAATTTTTAGCTTCAGATGGACGCGTTATTATATATGGAGGAACGAGCAATAAATTAGCTGCTAGCCCATCCATAGTAGTCTTAAATACTTCGAATTATGCGTGGTCAACACCATCGGAAGTAAACCCTGTTGGGCCATTAACTTCACATACAGCAACTATGGTTAACAATTATATGATTGCATCATTTGGTAATTATAATTGTCTTACATTTTACGTATTACATATCATATATATATATATATTAACTTTTATTTCAAGGTATAAATGTGACAGAAAGAAATTTTGATAAACAAAATAATAAAAACGTTTATAAATTGGATATTTCGGATCCATTGACTTATAAATGGTCATTATTATCCTATTATAATGATAGTTTGACTGTGTCAATACCTAGTTTAATACCATTGCCGACACCGGGAATAACTAACGACGCTAAATCGACATTTAATAGTTCGTCGGATAATTCATCTTCGAATAATTTGCCTATTATAATTGGCATTACCGCAGGAATATTATTAATTGTTATTTTATCTTTCGGTGGGTTTTTATTGTATAAGAGAAATAGAGCAAAAACAAAATATATTCCGACTCCTGGTAGCAATCAATTATTGGATCTTTAAACTTTTTCTTTTATTATTACTGTAATCGAAATATTCAAAATAATCTATGAATCTATTATAAATATCTTATTTGTCTGATTTATGATTCTTATATCTTGATTTTTATATAAATTTTGATTTTTTAAATTTTAATCCTATCCGAAAATTGTTTATAAATTGAAAGCCTGAATTAACGTTTATTTCTAAACCTAATACATTAATATAAAATTTTAAAATCAGATGTTTTACAAATGAATCTGGTCGTTCACACCATACTGATTTGTGTAAATTACAAATTATAATTGACACATTGGCTGTTCTTTTTTAGGTAATAAACTTTATCAAGTTGCAAATATTATTTAAGTATCCATTTACAGTATAATGATAAACTTAATCAACCTGTTTAAAATATTTTCCGCCACGTAAATTGATATTCCAGTATTTTTTTTACTCATTGGTTAAGATGCTTGAGAACGCACTAATATTAAACCTTTCAAAATAAACCTTGAATATATAAATATAGAGTGATTATTTGATAATTCTAAAAGAAAATAAGATGTTATTGACTTTTAGAGATAATTTCTGATACCAAAGCCCTATAAAAAAAAATTAAAAATAATATTCAGATTTTGTTCAGATTATTATTTTAAAAAATGAGCATTTTTCGTAATAATAATCTGAACAAAATCTGAATATGATTTTTAATTTTTTTTTATAGGGTAAGTACCTTGGAACTCCACATTTATTAAATAAACTAAACAGTCTACTAGTCTATATAATTATCATCTGCCAAGATCATTTCTAAATTATGCAGATTATTATGATGGATCCATACAGTATAGTGTGTGAAATACATATTTTTAATATCTGTTCTGGTGTTATGTATTATTAGGTTAGCTTTGGGAAATTGTAGT